AACCTCTCTGGGTTCGGCTGTTTCATGCAGGAACATGTTGCTGATCCAGCGGCTTATGGTAAAATTTTTAACACTACATCAAAGTACTGACACTGAGTTGGGAACGTAAAAAGCACAGCAGTGATGCTGTTACTCCTCAATTTCGTGCTTTCACTGGTGCAATGGAGTTCATTGGGTAATATATTCAGAGCTCTGAATATCTCATTATGTTGAACATGCCATTCGAGCTTTCATACTTATCCAAACCCTTTCTGGTTCTGTCTTTTTTTTATCCCTTTAACCTTTTGTCTGCTTTATCCTTCCAAACTCAGTATTCCTCCTCCTCCCACTAGTTTCCCAGCACTTCCCTTTAATGACTCAGGTTACACTGTAACGCTATCAGCCCTTCAACAGAAGCAGTGAAAATCTGCTTCTGTTTGAACAGTCCAAGAGGGATGTGCTGGGACTTTAAGGCCAGTGAAACTCACCCCACCAAACAAAGAATAAATTATCCTTTACACTAAAACGTAAACCTGTGAAAATAAAAGGAACCCACTTACTTACAAATAAGAATCTGTTCATGAAAGTTGAGGAATGGTTTGTGATTGGAGTGTGGTGAGGAGGAGGGTAGCCAACTCCTGTTGTGTCAGGACAATATGTCAGGACACAAAATGCGTCAAAACTAGGGCCTTCTGTGTCTTCTGCGCACAATTAGGCAGTGACAGCTCCACACTAGTTCCAATTATGCCCTGGCCTTAGGGGAAGAGGTAGAACCTGTTGCAAATACAGCTATGCCTGAGTTACCTGAGGCATATCTTTAAGAGCCTTCAGACTTGCTCTTCTCTGCCAAAACACAGATGTGAGTGTTGACACAAATTACTTGGGGTCACTGAGCACTTCAGTTAAGGTAGTTGTGTTTCTGTCTCACCCATGAAGATAGCTGAGGTATGCTACCTTCTTCTTCCCAACACCCTGGTGTAAGGAAGGTGGCAAGAATAAGATATTGATCTCAACAAACTATAGAGGCGAAGTTTACCTTGGCATCTCTGCCAGAATTGTACATTGACTAATATATGCAAGTTAGCAATCTCTGTGGAAACACTGGTATTTCTACCGGAAACACAGCCTCTCCACTACAGGATGATTCTGATCATCCTCACTCATAAATTTTACTGCAAACTAGGAAAGCACTAGATTATTTTTTTAAGCAGTCAGTATTTTATCTAGAAACTCTTGAATCCTTTTGGACATACTTACACAACAACAATAGAGCCTCTGAGTTTTGAATAATTTGCTGAATTTCAGCCTGAAAGGTAAAGAAAGTTAAAATAAAAAATGCATATTTCTCTGCAGCTTTCCATTCCATTAGAATAGCAACAAATATTCTAGTCATAGCTGCCTTCTAACATTAAAAAGAACATATAATACATGTAATGTTTGTAAGACTATGTGACGGAAGGTAGAACGGAAATGTAAGAGGTCATATCCCATTTTCAGTTCCACTTGACTTCACCTTTTTTGTGTCCTTCAGGCATCTACATAGTTGACAGGAGGTTCCGCTCACCTGATGAATCATGCAACCAGTTGACTCAGTTCCTGTATGGGTTTTGTCAGCAGTCCCGTCGCCAGAGAATCATCCAAAGAAACCGAACCGAGAGGCTCTCAGATCTGCTGGACTGGAGATACCTAGGCAGGGTGTGTGAAACTGTGTAATAGAAATACTACACATTCCAGGCACATAGGTCTAACTAGCAGTCTTTAGCATTATGCTACAATGCAAGGAGACATCCCTGCTCTGAAAAGCATCTCTCAAAAGTGCTAAAGGCAAAGCCTGCCTTTACAGTGTAATGTTTTCATTCTCCAGTGGTAAGGAGAGATATGACTTAACTGAGTAATTTAGAGCAGAAGCCAGTCATGCTGGCTGAGGTCATTTTACTCTTGGTCCTAAAGGCCATGTAAAAAGCTTGTGTCTAGCAACCCTACTTGTGTCACTGGCAACCCTACATTAAGAAGGGTTTGTGCTCCAAAGTCATCTGTATTCTTCCAAACATCCTACCTGTTCTTGCTGCTGGGCCTTGAGCTCCTCAACACTCCTAAATGACCTCTGTGCCTTGAAGGCAAAACAATGGGTTTGATTTGACATAGAAATCCACAGGAGCAAAGAAGCAGATGCACATGCATCAGTTTTTAACTATTTTGGACCTTGTCCTGCTCTGTCTGTGTGAGAACCTTTCTGTTTATATGATTCTCAACACAGCATAAGACCCTGATATAACAAGCTATTTTTATCATGCATGTGACACGTACTTGTGAATATAGTGGATACATAAATATTTTTGCCAAATTCTTAAGTACAAGGCTTCATAAATATTACCCTCTGTAACTGTTATGCATGCTTCCTATGCAAGGATGAGTCCAAAGGTTGTGTATATGTACATGTGCACACTTAAAGATACAAATTTTCCTGGTTAAAAAAGAGCCAGTTCTATCCTGAGAGATAAAGAATACCTGTCAATCAGTAAGAACTACACTGTCTGAGATGAATGCTGGTTTCTATCTTAATGCATTGGTCTTACAGAAACCTTATTCAGCTTCTGTTCCAGACTCTACTTCAGTGTGAATCTAATGTGAATGTTTCACTACTTCATAGCAAGTGCTTATTACTAGCAGTGATATCAGTTGGATTCTGCTTAGCTGAAAACAAGTATGGCCTTTGTTCGTCATTATCTTTTAGAAGATACTCATTTTAAGTTCCTATTTTACCTGTTTAAATCTACCCAAGACTTCCTTGACTTGTAAAGGCTTCTCTTTCATATTGCAGTATTACATGCATGCCAGACACTTGGCCCTCAGCAGAACATTTCCAGATAAATTTGAGATGGAACCATGTGCTCCACCAAAGGTAAAGCCTGCTTTTAGAGATGAGTTCATCTGCATTTTAGCTATTCTTACAAAGAGAGAGGAGTGTGACAGTGTGTGTGTACGTGTGTGTTTGTGACAGAAAGGGAGAAGAGAGTTAGCAAGGTTTGTTTTAACTGAAGGGAAGTAGGAATTAATAGTTAAAAGCTCAACAAGTTATAGTCCCAGCCTCTAGTCAGTTGTAATGGCATCAGATGCAAATACTAGGAATACCAGATGCAACACAGGGACAGTTTTTTGGGTCATTTAGAGTGACCTGGTTGGCACTATGCCACTTTAGACCAGCTGAGGAACTGGCCTTTGAAATTTTTATTAAAGAGTGGCAGCTTCTAATTTTGCTTCTGATAAATGTCATGGAGATGTTCTGCACAAACCAAGCAGAAGAGGAGCTGGGAAAGGATGCTCTAGGAAAAGTGAGGTAAAGAAAGCATCTAAGCATGGTCTGTGAGGAGGAAGCTATGGTTGGAACTGCAAGGGGTCAGTTTAAAGGTGTTCTTGCATAGTGCATATGATCACTGAAGTGAGAAGGGAGGCTGCTCAGATCTAATATAAGAACAATATTATCTGACACCAAATCCCCAGCGCCTCTGGAGAGCAACACATTTGTTTTTAAACAAGAAGGACAAAGGAAGCTCAAACCAACCCTTTCTTGTCTCTGGTTTTGCAGATATTGGCATTATAACTAGAAAACAGTTTTAAAACTTGATGGAATTCTGAATTTCGATAAGCATATTCTGACTATGGGGTATCAAAGGATTTCATCCTGCATTGACAATTTTTAGGATCAGTCAAGGTAGTCATATTTTGCAAAAAGGAGTGCTAGAAGGGCAGCATGTTATTTATGCCACAGGCTAAAGATCATTGCCATACAAGCAGAGAAGGACTGAGGGGATGTAGGGTCAAGGGAGTTTAATTTTAGAAGGCAGAGCAGGTCTAACTTACATCCCACCATTGGTTTCCTTTGAAGTGCTAATATTCTTAAACTGCTGTATACAACTAATTGAGGAACACTGTGATAATACATACAACATGCTTCTCTCTCTGCCAGACGGAAGGTTTCAGGTATCCTAGGCCTTCATCAGTGCCACCGTCACCTTCTGCCTCTCAGCATTCCAGCCCTCACCATAGCGAAGGTGAAGATGAAGATGAGGATGAAAGATATGATGAGGATGAGGAGGCTGAAAGGGATAGGCAAAACATCAAGTCTCCCTTTACCCTCGGAGCATTGCCACAAGGGAAAAAGAAGCAGCACGGAGAATACAGGAACTGAATTTGTTGCTCTCACCCTGGCAAGGTCTCTTCATCCATTCAACAGTTCTTCCTGTAGGTTCCTAAGCTTTCTGTTAGGGACAGTATGATATAATTAGGGGAATCTTAAATGTTATTTGAGCTACACTGTTGTAAATCCTAATATTATTTCACCTTAAAAGTATTTTAAATGACAATCCTTCTGTGCCCCTTTGAGATAGAAGAGATTTCTCAAGCTTAATAAACCTAGAGAATGAGACAGTCCCCTCAGGAGCTTATACAAACTGCGGATCATAACTTTGTCTACATAATCATCTGTATTAATTATAGTCTATGCTGATAGCTCCATTATGGGTGTCCCAAATTAATTTCTGCTCATTTATGTTTCCCCTGTCCCTTCCTAAAATAATATGAACTTTAAGCCAGAGCTCAAAAATTTAGAGAAAAAAGTGTTGCACTGAGGAAACCTTGGCAGGGTTAAAAAAGATATGTGGGAAAGAAAATGGTGTTCCTTTTTACTTATGCTGTTTATTGTAAGCTTACATCACTTAAAACATGGTTTTTTACAGTACACAGAAGTGTCTTGATCCAGTGGTAAAACATACTTCCTGTGGAACAAAATAAAGTCTAATGCAGTGGGCATTTGAATTTTAGAGACAAATGGAGTTATCTTTCTGAAGTCACTTAGACCCACAATAAACAGCAGACCATTTATTTTCTGATTCCTCTTGTATGTCTTTTTTGTTGCTTTCATCTTGTCTTAGGTTCTAAGGTTATTAATAAACTAGCTTGGGAGGAAGCTAATGTGACTTGGCTAAAGACAATGACAAAATTTCCTTATGTTAGGCCTTTCCCTGCAGACAAACCTACATGCCATAGAGCAGTGTGACAGCATTTAAAGATGAGTAACTCTAATTCTTCCAATTGCCCAATTAATCCATGGTCTATTTCACTTCTTTGAGGAAAGATGTGATTGTAACAAACAATGCTAAAACAATTCCAAGAACACATTTGCTCCACAGACATAGTATCGAAAAGCACCCGAAACTTCTAAGTACTTGGGGAATAATTGAAACCCACAACAAGAACTAGACATTATCTTCAGAAAGCTTTCAAAAGTATTTTAATTCTGAGAGATGCAGAGAGTGCCTGAACATGCTCTTCAGAAGTAGATCTTGACTTTAAGATGTTAGGAAGGAGATTTGTCTTTTGTTTTGGAAGTTTGCGCATCAAAAATTTCTCATGCTGTTCAAGAAAAGACATTTGCAGGAATTGATTCAGCCTGTTCTTCAGCAGGTAGGATGATGTAAATTTTGGAGGTATTTGCCTTCACTGCAAATCCCAAGAGGGAGCCTAGATGTCCTCTTTGATTAGACACATACCTTTCAAATGCTTAACATTTGATGACATCGGTCTTACTGTAGAACATATAGAATAAAAGTGATTAGGTGCCTATTTCTATTTTTGGCCACCTAAAATCAGTTTTAAAATTGGACTTTCATTCTTAAGCTGATTTGGATAGGTGAATGAATGCCTATTCTCAGAAGACAGGTTCAGGCTTTTATGGCAAAAACATAACTGGATTTAAAAGGAGTCACTATTTTTTAACCATGTTAAAAGTAATTAAGGCAATGAGTAGTTATTTTTTGTATGAAAGTGGTGAAAGTAAAGATGCTACAAACATTTTTCTTCATACAGTTTACTACTTGGAGAACGACTGCACTTTGCGAATTCAGAAATGTATATTCTTCCCCAAAGTGCTTTAATCAGAGTTAGCTCACAGAACCAAAGACTGGCAGAGAGTTTCAACAAAAGAACATTTAAAAGTTATATAGACTGAAAGTTAATGTTCTCTTAAAAAAAAAAAAAAAAAAATCAAGAAATCTATAATTATTGCTTGTATTTCAATGCACTGTTGTATGGAAGAAGAGCACTTCATCCCAAGTTCCCTGCCACCAAAACTGCATTAGCATCATCTGAGAGTGATCCAGCACTTCCTCAGTTGCCTAAAAATGTTTCAGTTGCCACAAGCTCATGAACATCTGTTTACCATCAGCTTCATTTTGGTGCTGAAAGATGTGATCACTACATACGTGTTGTAAATATTTTTAAATGATGGAGCCACAGCACAGGCAGTATGGAAAGTGGAAAGGTTTTGCTAGGGTTGTGTTAAGACAGCTACGCTCGTTCTTTCTGAACAAGTCCCAGAGGAGAAAAATAAGCAAGATGCATGGTCTGGGTTACGCGTTCTCTTAAATGTGCTTATGGTGTCTGAGTTCTCTGGGAAGAGCAGAGAACTGTAATGACATCTCACACAAATCCAGCTGTGTTTGATTCAGCACGCTCATATGCTTTGAGCACCTGCCTGGTGACAGAAAGTGCACAACTTCTGAGATGTGACTGATGTGAAGATAATGCCCATTCTTCTCAGAAATGGTCCTTGAGTGGCCAAAGTGACCTCTGCCTCATGCCTCTAGGCTTATTTTAGTACTCTCTTGAACGCTAAGACTAGCCATCAGTAGCACGACAATTTAACTACAGCAAAGCATTTCTGCCTTTTGGATTTGCAGTTTTATAGGGAATGGCTTTTTGTTCAGACAGATTGCCTAACTTAAATGCTGCACATTTCTAATAGTTACTGATATCTGACAAGCTTGGTAGCAGCTGTCTCTTACATAAGTGATTATCTGCCAGATTGAAAATGCTAGGGTTTCACAAACCACTCACCAGCATGGCAGAATGTTTATTCTGTTCCATGGTATTTGTAATGAATTGTTTAAGCTAGTGAGCTTACATCAGGACTGCATACAAAAAGCTGGAAATATGATTAGTACAGTTTTTCTATCATTTCATTTAGAGGCATATGAATTTCATTATAGTAATAAACCAAAGGATCTATAATATAAGCCTTCCACTTTTGTCTGATCATTGACTGATCATACAGTAAAATATGCTGAAAAGTAACTTAGATATTCAGAGTATGATAGAAACAAAGAGCAATTAAATGAATGAAAATATTCTGATGGATATCATTGGTGTTTAGATGAAGCTCATCATGAATGCATTCTGCCATATAACATATACTGCTATTCAAAGATACATTGGTGCTTAAAAATTAACATACAGGGACATTTTTATTTCTCCAGTTATGTTCCTCCATGAAATAATATAGATTGTAAACAGTTACTGAAAATGCCAACAGCCCCATGATGGAAATTAATTCCTCCGTTCCTTCAGCTGCGTTTCGTTTGAGGAGAAGCCACATTGTGATTAGTGTGTGTTAACAGTTAATTAGTAGTGTCATGAGAAAGATCAGAGGGAAGTAGCATTGAAAGATGAAGAGTATTACTTGAAGGTTAAAAAAAAACAACACAGCTGCTTGGACACAAGAATCGTGTGGCTGTTTTTTAATTACATGAGAACTGCAGAGGGCTTTCCAGTTAGACCACAAAACTACACAAATGATGTTAAATATGTCTTTATCAGCATGGAATGATAATAAACCAATTTATGCTCCAGTTTCACAACTCAAAAAGCAGGCCAACAAAAAGCACAGTAACCATGCAATTAATATTCTGTGTGCCTGCTGTCATGTGTGACACTAGGTTTGTCCCTGGTACACCACCACCAGCTCCAGCAGTACTGCAGATCCTGAAAAACAGCTGTGACTGTATGCCACAGGCATTAATGAGGCCCAGATCCTGTAAGACCTATCCCCACGCTATCTTTACGCGGTGGGACTTGCTCAGTAGGATTGTTCAGACTATACATTTCTGCATGCATGTAACTGGGACAGCGCTGAGGGCTAAGGAAGTGCTGTTGCCTATTCTCTGTGGCGACAGACATCTGCAAATAAAAAACCAAAAACCACTGTCTTCACAGTCAAAGATAGCTGGATTGTTTTAATATCTCACTGACTTTATTAACGATCAGCAGTTTACAGGGCTGGCAGCAAAGTGGTGAAGTAATTACCTTTAAAAGGGCTTCAATGCACAGCTGGATGAAAAGTGGTAAAAGATGGCTATTCAATGACTATTGAAAGAAAATGAAGTCGTTGTCCAAAAAGACAGTTTTAATCATCTTTTCAGGTAAGACGGTACAATGTATTTTAAATTCTAGGTGGGACATACAAAATGGTCTAAACAAAGCAGAACCTAACAAATACCTCCTTTATCTGATCTTTATCAGTAACGTGTAACCTGTTTGCATTCAAAATTTTGCAATACATATATACGTCACTCTTTGGGAACTGAAGTGAGGATGGATGAAACACTCTGTTTGCACAAGACATGATTTCAGGGTCTGTGCAATCCAAATGTCAAATTTGAAATATTTCACCAATTTGATAGCTTGTCTGTCAAGTAGGCAGGGTGATCACTGTTTTCTTCTTCAACTGTAAGACAAGACACAGTGGGGAAAATTAAGCTGTAGATAAGGGAAAGTTCATTCAGTAAAGCTTTCAGGAGACAGATGTGCCTCAAGCACAAGCCAAGTGAAAAGCGACTGCTATGCTAAGAGATGTAGGCATCTGTAGAAAGAATCATGCCTTCTCTCATTTTAAATGTAGGAATTTTTCTGTTTTCTGAAGTGCAAAGATACAAACCACGTCCAGAAAGGTATCTTAGTACAAGGCAGAATTTTTTCATGCAGAAGAAAATAACATATTTAGTTTCTATTTGCACACTTCTCTCACTCAGGAGGATTCTAAAATCACTGGAAAGTGATCTTCTGAAAGTGCATAACTTACCCAGGTTTGGCTGTTTTGTTATTCCCTACTACAATGGTGGCAATGTCACAGTATTTTTCAAACAAGTTGCCAGCTCTGCTTAGCTCTCTGATATATGTCACATTTTTTCCTCAAGGGCTGTTGCTGTTCACCATCTCTTCTGGAACAGTAGCAACAGGCAGGAAAATACCACTAAAATTTATGAATTGTGAGCTTCAGAGGATTTTCCCTTTCTGTTAGTGCAGAAATAAAACTTTCTGTGATTTATCTTTAGAACTGCTCAGATATTTTGCCCAAAGCATTATGCTCATTGTTAATTCTGCCTTTTCTCTGTCACTTAAATGCCACTGAATTCTTTAAATAGCAGAGTTCTGCCAGGGCAGGGAAGAGAGAGCCGAACACAGAGCCCCAGCACTATATGTTGATAACAATCTGAATAAGGAACAAGAAATAAAGGATGAGAAACAAAGGTAGCTTTTAGCCACCTTCTGTTCCTCGCTGTCTTGAACCAAAGAGGGGAAGAGCTAAACTTAAACAAACTCCTGGGCTTGTATATGTTACAACAGCCTCCGCAGCACCCAGGAGCCAGAGCACAGCATAGTCTCTCGACAGGCTGTAGGGTGCATCCTCCTTTTACAAACTCCCCGTCCCCAGCTCCATTTCCCAAAAATAGACTATGTAGAGGTGAAATGTAGAAAGACAGAGGACAAGGGTAGCATAGATTTAGGGTTTCAGCCTTGTGAGCTCTACCTATGCCTCAGACAATGAGCAGTTCAGGAAAGCTGGCTAGGGTGGAAAGGTGAACTAAAGCAGGGCAAGGGAGCAGGGGAACATAGGATAAGGGAGTGCAATGTGCATGAAGGAGAACACAAGTTGCTTTAGCCCGACTCAGTACCTGGGTTTTGCTAGGGGGTGTTGCGGAAGGGAAACATGGGTTCTGAGGTTCTGGAGAAGCAGAAGCACATGGGGAGGAAGCATGTGATGAGGACATACAGATGGGAAGCTGGGAACACATGAATAAATTACAGGATTTTCAGGATATTTCAGAGCTCTATTTCAAAACGTCCCTGGGACCCTTGTCAACTGTGCCAGCAACAGAGCTTGCAGAGGCCAGATGTGAATCCCACAGCTCCTCTGCTGGGGCTTTTAAGGATTCTTTTAAGTCTTTATACCAGCATATAAGACCCAATGGAGGAATGAAAATTTCACAAGAGAACAATATTCTGCAGAAAAAGGAGTCCCAGTAGAGTTCTGTTCTGGAAAAATCAATTCAAAATAGCCATTCCTTTGAATCTAAACCAATGAAATTCTGAAAAGCAAATTCAAAGCAGAATATACAAAATTTTACCTACTGTCATTTACCTGATTCATGTAGTAATCTGTGTAAATGTACACTCTAACACAATACATTCCTTGGAAGGTCTCATTTCAAACCTGAGCAAGCAGCTGCATGGTACTTGCCAGATGGGCTTAGACCACAACAAAACTAGACCTTTTAGATTAATTTACTAAATTGTTAATAAATGAAATAGTGACAAACCTTGTTTTAAAAAGTCAGGGTAAGACAAAACACACATTTACCTTTTTCTTGCGCTTTCTGTAAGGAACTAAGGAACAGTGCAGCAGCTTCAGAAAGAGATAAAGGATTTGTGTTTTGGCTGCGTGTTTCTAGAATTATAAGAAGAGAGATGCATGGTTGGTTAGTGTTTGATGGTATTTCTTTGGTTTGTTTTTTTGCTTTTTTATCTCTACAATGAAAAACCCAAAGAGAAAAATAGTGCTGTTGTCTCCCTCACACTGTAACATTCTCTACTCACAATCACCCAGATGAATATTTAACACAGAAGACACAAGCGATCTTTATAAAAAGCAGGATATTTCAAAGTCCCTTAAAAGGTAAAAAGAATATTTAGTTTTTTTCATATGTTCCTTACTTTGCTATAACATTCTGTTTCCTCCAGAAACATTCTCTGTCTACTTTTGTCATCTATCAGTTCAGCACAATTAATAACTTGATTTTTTCCAGTGGAAAACAAAAATCAGAAGTACTGATGATAATGCCACTTAACAGCCAGGTTCACCTGGAACTTCCATAAATGAAATCATACAGGTGCACAAGGGAGGAAGGTCAGTCTTTATCGTGTACCTTTTTGAATGAAGAAACTAGCAGAAATAAGTTTGTTTCCTTGACTATATCCCCTCCAGTTTCCACAGATTTCTCCCATAATCTGAGGAGAGATCAATGTGTTACATATACTTGTCCGCATGTACTTACCAAGCTTCATTCTCTCATACAGATCGTTTTGCTGGCTCTCATCTGAGATGAATCGACGTCCCTCTATAAAAGCAGTGGGAAAAGGGTGAAAACAACCTCCCAGGTCTATTGGTATTCCTACACTACAATTCCTAAAGTAGTATTTTCAAAATACAAAATTACATCATTACTTCTACAAACATAAAATGGGAGGCATGAGGGTCTTTCCATATCAGCAGGAACCCATCTTGAACCATAACACTCCAAGGCAAGAACCCCCTGTTACTTTAGAAGATGTTTTAATAAAGCCTGAGTGAAAATAAGGTATGATAACTATATCCAGCCTGTCTTAAACCCCCTTTAAGTTTATTTCAGATAAGGAAACTTCTTTTCCGACAGGTTTTACAATCAAGCTTCCATCAACTTTTTCAGTACTTTGTTTTGCTTCACTTCTTCCAACACTTGTTGTTTCTTCCATTTGATTTCTTTAAAAAATAATAATACTGGTGATACCACTGTTTCAGAGACAAGAAGAAATAAGTAATTAGTATATCCCTGCAGGCCTCAGAACTTCTGCCTCCACAGCATCCTCAGGGATTTACTGATTGTATGGGGCAAAGCAGATTAGGAATTATCCAGTGGTAAAATTATTTCCTCAAAATGGAAAGAGTGGGACTTACGTGCACCCTTCAAATACAGCATAGCCTGAGGAGTCCAGTTTCTCCTTTGGAAATAAGCCTTTGTGCCAAAAAAAGAGAAGAGCCGTGTCAGCACTGCATGACATTACTAACTAGTACAAACACTTAACTGGCACCAACCCGTGAGACTCATGGATGCTGCGCGTTCAGCCTAAGTAAGTGAGCAGTTTACCTGAGGTGCACTCCAGGAGAAAGATACCAAGAACGCTGCCAGGAACAGTGCCGTTGCAATTGCTGTCAGTTTACGTAGTCCCTGTGCACAACAAAGAACTGCAAGGTACAGGAAGACCTTTCAGATCCTTAGATCCTCTCAACTTCAAATCTAAATGTGAGGGTATGTCCAGTCTCTCCTCTTTCCCTGTTTTGCTGCCAAACCTCCTTTTGCTCAGTGACTATTTCACTGATTTGTACACAGTGATCTCATGGGAGGATGGATGTTAAATCAAACATATTATATTCTCTTAACTCCTATTCATTACAAAGGTACCATACCGGTGAGAAATGCCACCGTCACAAGCACCTTTTGTCCTCCTATTTACAAAGATATTAGATCCTCCAGAAAAAAAAGAGAAATGTACAGTCTAAGGGGGAAAGACAATATAAAGTATATCTTGATTTTACCAAACCTTGAATCATGGAGTTTAGACAACAAGCAAATGCAGGGACTTGCCATTTCAAACAAAAGCCAATCAACCAGGAGAGCACATCGCTACTACCTCAGGAAAAGAAAGTTTTTAAACTTAGCATCCTATTTGCCTCAGCCATGATTACACACATGTCACGAGAGAGGATTTTTGATTCTTGGAGCTTGTTTGCTGATGCAGCACATGCAAATGAAGCATTGAGCATGAATCCTCTGCAAAAAAGTTGCATCTCTGCTTGTTCACACAGACCATGTTGTTATTTATGTATTGATAACAGTGATGTGCAACAGAGAGCACCTAACATTATGATTCACAGTAGTTTATTTCACCCTGGCTTTGAGAGCATGTTCTGCTCTTAATGTTCTTTTAATGCACTTATTTCAAGCACACTGAATAGAATTATGTGTGTATTTCTTACGTTATTTATTTTTAAAGTCAAAAATAAATTATTTCAAAGTTAAAATTCGTAAGCCCCCCCTGCTGCTGCTAAATACTATACCCACATGAAAAAGTATTCACTGAAAACTAAACTTTCCCATGCATCAAAAGAGTTTCACTCACCTTCATACTTTGTTCAGTGGCAAATCTTCAGCCTTCTTTTCTTGGGATAACGTGCTACAAGATCTCCTACAGGTTTGGGAGTTCCCTTTTAAATCTTCAGAGTGAAGGTACCCTCCCCTTCTGTGGCAGGGCGGAGGAGTGTAAAGGGATCTCTTGTCAGCCCTCTAGATGGAGAAGTAGAAGGTCTGATGACTCCTGAGGGAAACCTGTAGTCTTGCAGGAAGTCAGAGAAATGATTGAAAGACGGATACACTTGCAGATGCACCCCATTAGCCAGGTGAATACCTTCTGAATACATCAGCATCAGCCCTGTGGATTTGCAACACGTCACCTTCTTGCTAGATGATCGATAACGACAGCCAGAAGCAGGTATTAATATGCATGATGAGTGTTTACCTCGGATAATCTAACATATATCATATTGCTATCCATTGCGGAAGCTGGAAAAGTTAGTAAATTACTTTCCAGGCATAACATGCCAACATCAAGGAAATGGTGACTTTTCCAGAGTTACTAGCTTATTCCTACTAAGTATAGCTAGTAGTAATGTACTAGGTTATTCCTAGCATACATTTAGAAGATGCAGTCTCTTGTTTGATTCTCTAATGATCTCTCGCGTCTAGTTTTCTTATATGCAAGCAAAAATACAGAGCTCAATAAAAAAACACCGAAACCCTTCCAACCTCTAACAGTCAGAAACACTTTTCTGTCTCATGGGTTGGCTGGAGTAAAAACCCAGATAACGGGCTCGAATAGGTCAAGCAAGGGAGCAGTAAACAGAAAAAAGTCTCGAAGTGGGAATCAGAGAATCCATTTCCATAGGATACTTCTAAGTGATTGTTGGACTTACTGTAGTCATGGATAATGGATGAGAGGCAAAGCTTGTGTAGCTAGGGTTTTTATCTCTCCTCCTTCAATTTTTCCCTTTGTAAAATGGGAGAGGGAAGCAGAAGGGGAAGCAAAGCACACAGGAAGCTAGAAATCTGCTGGTTAGAAGACTGGCCAGTAGGCACTTTCCTGCAGCAGTCTCACAAACTGGACCACCCTGTGGTGTAACAAAAACACGGGTCTGTCCCTACGTGTGACAGACATGCTCATGTATGTGGAGTCTGCCTGAGGAGTGTGCAGATAAGTACTGCTAAGGTTTGCCATGAGGTTTTGCCTGATGTGTCTGTGGAGATTGCTCTGATGCACAGTTTGTGAAGGTGCAATTACTCTCCTGCTTTTGTGTGGATACTGATCTGTTCTCTGCTCGTGCCAGACAGAATTGTTTGTGAAATATACAGAACCGGCATTTGCTGCTGCTCACTCTGGAATGGATAAAAGAAATGAGAGAGAAGTTCAGGTTTTAGCCTCATGCAGCTCTTGCCATGGCTGGGAGCTATCTCACTATCTCTCTATCCTTTTAAAAAGGCCATGCGATGATGCACCCTATCCAACAGAAGGGATTCTAATTGCATCTACTTCAATGTGAAGGTTACATTTTCTCTGCTCAGAACAAAGACATTTCTGGATGATGTTTAACCCTTAGCCTTAGCAGGGTACTATGCATGGCATCCAGAAGACATTTAACAAGCAGAGACTTGGAAAAGATAAATAAGCTACTCACTTATTCCCTCCTGGAGTGACCTCAGAGCTTCTCTTTCTGCACGAGTCACAGGGCCAGAATCAAAACACACAACTGAGTCTGTGAAAATAAACCCCCTACATTTGGTGTTGGTCAATGTAAAGTATATTCTCTTCACAATGGTTCTCCTTGTGGTAGAAAAAAACCAGAATCTGTTTGGCACTGAAAATAAGCCCTGGTTCTCCTGCCACTGGAACGAGATAACACAAAATAAACCATGAAGACAACCAGCTAAGTCCCTTCCTGTGGAACTAGGGAGAAGGAGAAGAGAATAAGAGACATGGAGAAAGATTTATATTGTTACCACACTGTAGAAAGACAACTTCAGCTGTTCTTATCCTTTGACTTCTTTGCAAAGCCTGAGCTGGTCTGAGTTGGTGTTGCTGTAGTCTCACTCTCTCTTCTAAACCTGGACGTATTGCTAGAGTCCCAGTTGTCCCCTTGTAGAGACTGGGGGTTGGCTGAGGCTGCCTGTAGGGCAGCAGGGAACTGAACTGAACGGATCGAAGCTGAACTGACTTATTTGGGGCCAGGTGACCATCAGCTCAAGAGCAAATGAAGGGTCTTGACAACATTCTCTCAGATTAAATGGTTTTAGTGCTTTTTAAGGGTTTGGGTATTTTTATTTTTTTTCCCAAAAGGTTCTTATTTTCCCCTTAAATTATCTGTGCCTTTGTGACTTAGGGCCCTAAATTCATTTATTTTTATTATGACCAGTGATTCTAAGTTGCTTTGCTGTTTCAAAAAATATATATATTTCTGAAATCTGTAAGAAGTCTGCAAAGCTGCAAGAAGTCTGCATGCAGAATAAAAAAACTACAGGTTTGTCAGTTCTACTTTAGTGACTAAAATTTAAAAGACTTCTCTCTTCATAGCTTTTTCTTGTAATGATCCTATGAGAAGGTGGTCATTTCACTCTTCCCAGAATTCTAACAACTTGTAGAATGGCATATGGGACATGGTTTATTTGCAAACAGCAACAGAAGGCAATACTTTTGGAAGGAAATGCATATACCAAGAATGTTTGCAGTCACAAAAAAAAAAACCAACATGTGGATGTGTATGGGCATATGTAAGCTTGTACTCTTGAAAAATGAAGTAGCCTATAATTAGGTTATGGATCATAACACACTAAGAAACTACAGCACTTCAAGATGATGAGCTGTACATGAAACACTCATTGTCAATGCTGCCATTTCTCAGCTGATTTACATAATTGAGGAAGTGGCTTTGGCATGTAATCAATACTCTAAGTGAAGGAAGTAGTGAAGCTTGCTGTAGCAGCAGGACCCCTTATTAGAAAGAACACAACCTATTCTTATTCTTAAAGATGTCTAAAGGGCAGAGGCTGTACATGATAAAAAGCCAATTTCTGGGATTGAAGATCCATGCTGAGGTGAGTGAAAAAGTTCTCATGTGATAGGGTTTTAACTAGTGGGGTTAAACATACATCACTGAATTGCATCACACCTGATTTCCAAAATCTTCCCCTAAAAATATAGGCAAGTTATTGTGCCTCTCTATTTTTAAATTGCTGGTAAAGACACCAATAATGCATTGCTTGTTCTTGAGTAAAAGGTGTAGCTATTGTGTGTAGGTGGTCAGTAGGCATGTCAGTAGTATGGCATTCTGACAGTGTTAGGGTATACAGCTCCTGAGATGTATGACCTTTGTCTCTTGTGCATATTCTCATTTCCTTCATCTGGCATCTGAACAGCACCTAGCATAGTCCACTTCTGGCTTGGACATGCTAACCATAGCATCTCAGAAAGCTGTGAACTATCATGGCAGAGTCTGCAAAGTAGCAATAAACAAAGAATTCTGTGCTTAATTTGCAGTGAAGAGATTTAAGCTAGATTTTAAGGCAAGTTTTCTAACAGTAACAAAGAGAAATAGAAATAGGACATAGAAATAGACAGCACATAGAAATAGATTGCCTTGAAAGGCTGTGAATCTATTACCACAGAGTAACTCAGAGAATAGATTACTCAGCCCCTTCTTAGGACTCACTGGTGAACTGATCCTGCTCAGAAACTTGATGCTGAACTGTACAGCCTCAACATCTTCTTTTGGGCCTGCTTTTTGTATTTCTGTGATCTTTCAAAGCTGATTCCAGACTTCAATCCCATGCATAGTGCCCAGGCTAGAGTGAAATTCGTATACAAGTTCCATATTCGCCTTGTGAAACCTGTTGACCAAGTAAACCTTATCTGCAATCCACCAATACATTTTGTCAGAATTTTATGTCACACAAACATGTTTATCAGTATCATTTTTCAGAATAACTTACATAATCATAGAATAGTTTGGTCTGCAAGGCACCTTAAAGGTCGTCTGAGTCCAACCCCCCTGCAATGAGCAGGAACAGGTTCAGCTTCTCTGGGAAGTTGTATTTTCATGGTGCAGCTCTGAAGGAAAGAGATTCTCTCCGATATAAACCAGATACACAATTACAGAGGCCACTAGTTGTTGGCTCAAAGTTTATCTAACTAACTAATCTGTCGCACATTCAGCACCATAATGTCTGCAGGCCTGATTCCAGTGCTACTGCATAGCTGCTAGCATTGGTTTTCTTCTTTTCTCTAGACTGTCTGAGAAGAACTGTACCAAAAACTGCTTGAGGTACAGAACAAGCTGTAGAAAAGTCAGCTAGGGATAGTGCAAATGCCTCGTACAATAAAAGTAACAGAGCCTTTGTTCAGGACTACAGTTTGATCAGTGCTATTCAGGTCCAGGCACTACACTTTTCAGCAGTATATTGATGAAAGAGAAGAACTTCAAGGGATGTTTATAAAGTTGAATATGCTATGTGGGGTGAGTAATGTTTAAAACTATCAGGAAAGTGTAGAAATTCACAAGTATTAGAAAGGTGTACACATCAGAAAGAGGTACTGCTTCTGAAGTCTGGTGCACCATAAGATGTGTTCTTATGGTACAACATTTTTTTTCAGTAATGGAGAAGTCTGGGCCAAACGCCAGGGAAAAAAAGTCCAGCTGAAGAACAGTTTTATCCAGTTTGAAAGTTGGAAAAGAAACCTGACCATCTGAGTATAGCCATTTACAAAGTGCATTAGCAGAAGCTGTCCAGCTCTTCAGACAGGAAGACACTACTGAACGTATCTCACAGAACATATTATGTTTCTCTAACGACAGAAGCATCAAAGGCCAAGGAGTCATCTGACCTTTTCTTCCACCGCCATGAACTTGGCAAAGAGGATTATTGTCTTTGTCAAGCAGCTACCTAGCGGGCTATGAAGGATGATGAGCATTACGCATGCAGTCATCTCCTCTTGACTGAGTAGTACTTTTGTCACAGTCTCACCCATGGAGCTGGGAAAGAAATGTAGGCTGCTGCTGAGCAGCTGGATGCTGACATTTTGTTGTAAACAGTGGATGAAATTGGGAGAGACAAAAAAAGGCAAGTTACACTGAGAGACTGCATGATAACCAGACGGGTGTCAGAGACTGAAAGAGCCTGTTCCATGTTCTTAACAGACAAAGTGCCCAACCTCTGTGAGCATGGTCCATAAAATGTGCAGCTTCTTGGTCAAAATGGTTTTCTTTTCACATACATGACGTGAGGGATGGGGAGGTATAGATACCTTTATAGAGAAATACATATAACTATATGTAAAATACATAAATTATGTAAAGGAAAATGTTGTTAAATGCTGAATAGGGAACCCCGGGCAGTATTTTCAAGAGAAACCAAATACGTTAGGAGCTCTGCTGCATTAACATTTGTTAAACATTGAAAACATTTGTCCTCAATATTCACCCATGCATACTGAACATAAGGTACACGTTACCCTTAAATAGCATGTATTTCAATCCCACCGTGCAGAGAACAGGAATGCTACTAAAATAAGAGGGGTTTTCATGTTACGCTGTTGTAACAACAAACGTTTGAAACAAAGCTTGACTCTAGAGGAAGAAGTCCAATATAAGGTAAAATAAATAACTTGATGCACCAGGTCATCAGAACTGACAGGCATTTTAGATGTTCCCAAAATGAGTGGGAAACCACTTCAGCCAGGCCTGTGAGTACTGATCTGTATCAGTCCACAGTGAAGCTCTAAGGAAAACACAGTGCAGCACAGCAAAGATGGACTGTGAGCCACTTGGCTCGAATTACACACCAGGCAAATTGGGAGGGTAGGAATTTCCTGCTGCTGGACCCTTCCCCACCACCCCCCTAGCCTGTGGCAGGCTGGGATGTGTCATTTCTCCATGTGTTGGGAGAAGTCTGATGGGCTGTGCAGTTAGTAGGCACTGAGCAGGCAAGAGTATTCCTTCAACAACATTTTTCTATTTCCAGTTATTTGTACAGCATATACCCAAAGATCCACGCTCTTAGAATGCAAATCTTTTTTGAGAATTTAATACTAAAGAGAGGACTTGGTTAACAGTCCTAATTCAAAACTCTTTTTTTGGCTCACAGAACCAAGCGCAGAGCAGACAGTGACGCAGAGACTCTTTTAATACATCAGCCCAAGAGACTTCCGTGTTTGACTTCCTTTAAAAGGTAGTAAGAACTATGAAATTTATGTAGTGTCTTGCTACTCTGCTCCAACTGTCGCAAGAAAAACCATGAGAGATCTGCTCCTGCCTGAAACTTTGCAGTAGGTGGGAAAAGTAAGACAGAACTGCTAATAGTAAGTAAGAAACATCCCAGGCACCTGAGTTGAAATGCATCAGTAGGCTATAGCATTATTTTCTTCACCATTTTAAAAATAAGGGTAGGATAACAGGGAGACTTCAGGATGCATATGAAATTGCAGGCAGGTCGTTTAGCTGCAGGAGAGATGGGGTTGGGGGAAGAAGAGCTAGAAAGCTGGAGAGGGATGTTTGATTTGCAGCTCATTGCCCCTCCCAGACCTAAAGCTGAATGGCAGCCACAAGTGTACCTTGTAAAGCTGATTTCCCATCCAATGAGTTCTCTGCTAATTTGAGTAGCATAGGCCATTTAGGTAGCCCTCCTCAGAGGGATAGCTAAAGTAGCTTTAGTTATCCTGTGCTATCTCTACCAGAGAGGAAAAGAAGGTATTTTTACCATATGCTAGAGTAAGTATGAGGTGTTGGACTGTTTCTTTTTTTTAAAATGGGGAATTATAAGCAACATTTAAAAGCATATTGCAAATGATCAGACTAGTATTCTTTAATGGAGTGTTACTTATATCTGCTTGAAAGCTCTTGTGTACTTACAGAATGTAATAAAATCCTACTCAATGTTTTTAAGCTTTTCTTTGTATCTCTAATATAGGAGACTACTTCAGCTTCCTAGAACTTATTTTTAAGGAGTAAATCTTTTAAAATGGCCATAATAATAAAAACCAGTCTCTTTTTAGAAGTTCTTCTAAAATTCTTGGTGTTATCTTTTTTTTTAAGTGTCCCTGTGGCTAACAAACACTTAACCAGTTAAGGAATTAAGGTAACGTTGCTACTTACAGAAACAATGCTAGAAAAATAAACTTGGAGATCTTGAGTCAGCATATATGAAAGCAAGCTGGTGGCATGCAGGAAGCTTGTAATAAAACACTTGAAGTAAAACAGTGAGTGTTCAAGTTTCTTGCACTCTAGATTAGCAAATACTTACATGTGCTTTTTTTTCTTTGCCTCACAAGGTTATACAAGTGGCAGCTCTCGTGTTAAATGCTAGTGAAGCATGATGCTGATTTTGGGAAAAGAATTGCATGGGGTTTTTTTACCTAAAAGCAGGGAGCAAACTTCTTGGGGAGTGGGAGGTCGCTTCCTTTTGTTTCTTGACTCAGAGTTTGAGCATAAAGGCACAGTTCAGTGAAGTCTGTATCCTTCTGGGGACAAGATGATATTTGTACTATACAGGGGGAAATCCCCTCAGGGTCAAGGAGTCTGGTGTTCTGCCCCCGTGAGCAGCCATGTCAGTCCCTCTCAAGTGCACACGTTACCTTGTGAGCTGTACTTGCAAAGGTGCTGTTTAATTTTCCTCTCCACCCCAACAGAAGTCTGGTCTCTGGTAATGCTATCCTAATAGGATGGCTATGAGTATAAACCCCAGTCCCAGAGGGTTTTACTGAGGATGGTTTTACTAAGGTTTTATCTGAGGATGGTGGTTGTCAGACATGTAGGTTATACAGTTAACATATGCTGGAATCTTCACTGCTTCCCTGTTTATTACTTTAAAGCACATATTGGGTTTTGTGTGTGCTTTGGATTTTGCTTTTTAATGTTGTAGATAATCTTCTGGAGAGAAGCAATACAGTGTATTTTCAGAGCTGAGGAGTTGAAAGTGATAGAGTGGTGGAAGGTATGTATGTAGTTGCAACACTAGGTGCAAGATATCGCTTAAGATCTGATTCTTAGCAGCTTTGGCTAGCTTTATCTGGTACAGTAATATTTTAGTAATATGTCTCTTACTCTGGTGTAGATGTCATAGCTGAATTCCAATAATATTACTTGTTTCCCTCCTTTTCGGGTGTGAGAAACTGAGAGTGAAATCTGCAGTGGGGCAGCGTCACATGGAAGCTCTTAACTACTCAGTTCAGTAGTGGTTGCAAATTGCAGAGTAAAAATTAATGTCTCACTTGAAATGTGGCTTTATTTCTGCTAAATGCACCCTTCTATGCCTTGGTCACACACACGCACTCCCCCCTACCTTCCCACCTACCCACCTTTTTAATTATTGCCTGACAGATAATAAAAACCCAGATAGGGTGATGTGCCTCTGTAGGTGATGCTTCTTGGGCAATGGCCTGTGTGGTGGCATGAGAGCTGTAGTTGTGGCTAACTGGTAAAAGACACAACTTGGTTTTGATTTTTGTCCTTGTAGGCTCAGTGTAATGTGAAAACTCTTGTTGCTCTTCCTTTTCCCTCCCCACCCCAGCACCTGCAAAGAGCAACCCCAGAAAGACAGACTTATATTTTCCTGAAAGTAAGCTACATTTGTCTTGCCTTCTGAAACACGTCACGAGATGATTTCAAGAAAGCGGCAGGCTCAAAATACTTCAACCAACTTGTGGGTGCAAAGCCACAAAAAGAGATCAGAAACTGATGATGTCTGTAGCTGTAGGTGGTACCTGCAATAAACAGCTGGACAGTTGTTGCTGTTAGACCTGAGGAAAAAAAAAGACATGGAACCAGTGAAATAAAAACTGCCACAGATGTGATCGGAAGTAATGGTTACAAAAGTTGTGTGAGGAGATTCATTTCTTTCATATAAAAATGAAATGCCCAATTTGGGATAAATTGGTCTGAGTAATATTGCTTAGTGTTTCCTTTAATCTGAAAAGGTAATCGGCTGCTAGGTTGCAGGGAGTTCCACAGGGTTTTTCTAGTTCCTCCCCTCTCTGCTTTCCCCCATCCCTGTCATGGTTATTGTATTTAAGAATAAGCATTGAGATTTTGGAAAGTATTTCTTTGTTTCTTCCCCACCTTTTCCAAATCCATGTGACTTCTAGTTCCCTGGAGAACTAAATATCAGGATTGAAGGCTTCTGTCACAGCTGGTATGTGGAGCAAAGGTTTTCAAACCACTTACTACCAAAGCTCCAAGTCTGCTGAACAGAAAACTGGCTCAGGGAACATGTGTTTGTGGATCATCCTGACTCTTGTATCGTGTCCCTGTTCTTTCCAGATATTTTGCAGGAGAGGGGAATTGATAATGTCTTCAGAACCTGGAGCTAACAAACGGCATCATAACCCAGTGGACAGTATATGCAGAAAGATCAAATCTATCCAAATGATGGACCACGTCTCTAACCCTGCTTTGCAGATACCAAAGTTTCAGTCCCAAAACTTTGACAGTCCGCAGAGCAATGTCAAAAAAAACCTAGAAGAACTACTGAAGAAAAGAACTTTCAGAAGTCATGACAGTCCTGATCTGCACTTAATCAGTCCCAGCTGTGACAGCATTTTCTCTGCAGACCTGCAGTTGCTGTCACCTTGTCTTGATCACATGTCTGACTCCAGTCCTATAAATGCTACATATTCAATCTTTAAAAGAAAAGAGAGATCCAGCAGCTCATGGATGCCAGTATGTGCCATTGAGAGCTCTTCTTCATCCTACTTCAGATCCAGAGAGGCCAATACTCAAAACAAGCTGTCTGCTTTATCAAATATTGAATCTAAAGATGTGCCTCATGAGCAGAAGTATCTCACATCAAGTCCAAATTTATATTACTTTACACCTGATAAAAAGTCAGAAAATGCTGTGAAACGATCTCCTGTGCCAAAGAGGTCATCTTTGAGTGAAAGAGGTAAAAATCCTGGGGAAAAACACTCCCAGTCCAAAGTCCTAGACAGCTGAGCACTCAACCTACATAGGTGACATTTAGTTGCTACTTAAACTTGTAACAATATGTTTTAGAATAATTCAGATTTAATAAGACAACAGAAAGTGCTGACTAAAATCTAAAATTTACTCTATAAATTATTAATGTGAATATAAAAAGTGAGGAAGTAATGAGTCAAGTCAAATACTCAAATCTGCTAATTCCTTTTTTGTGGAGAAGAGATTTGGCTTTTAATTTAGTCTGCCTTTAATATAAAAAGGAGTTTAGATGTGTTTTTTGTTGTGCATCAAAGTCACTATGGACAATAACAAACATATCCTTCATAGGATGGAAGCAGTCACTGGAGTACAAAACGGACACCACGCATGATGCGAGTTTGTTTTGTGAAGAAGACCTACTGACGACCATTTTCTATGCATGTGACGTAGACCAAACAGGTTTGTCAGTGACTTTTCATTGCTCTGTTTTGTTCTTCTATCAACAAATTTTCACGGTTCACTTTGTGTTATGGTTCCCAAGACATGATACGTGATAGAGTAACTAGTTCGCTTAGCCAAGTGGCTGTATGCGTGGCAGAAGCAGAATAGATGTCTGTGCCTCTTTTGCATGGTGCTTGTCTCTTCCCCCCTCAGTCCCCTTCATCCTCAGCTCATCTTTGCTTTATTTTAATGCAGAGGAAGTACAGGAACAATCTGCTTCCAGCAATCAACCTTACTGGAAATGACTGTAATTTCTTTTAGGTTTTTTCTTGTTAGAAAATAGAACTTTGGGAAACCTCAGAGCAAGAGAGAATTCCTTTAACTTCCACCTCAAACATGACTTAAAATGGTAGAGAAAGGAGTTGTCTTGTAGACTAAAACAGTGTTAGTCACAGGGTCTGCACAGTTTGAGAGACCTAAAAATAGTAGCATAGTAAATGTATTGAATTTGTTCTTAAACTGGAGTCCAAAAATTGAATAAACTGGATTTTCATACTTCTGTATTTAAAAAAAAATAAAATAAACCAAAGCTCTTCCTTTCTGGAAGAACTGCAGGGATCAGTTGCTTATCTACAGCTCTTGAAGGCAACAGAATACACACCAGTGCGGATGGGTAGCTTGCCCTTCTACAACTGTTTAAAATTGTCTACTAGATGTAAGAGTCTGGCACATGGACATCTGTATCTGTTTTAGGAAAAGTTGCAGTTTCCAAGATAGTTGATTATTTGAGACATACAACCAGTCGGGGGTTGGAAGATAGTGGTCTTGAAGAGCTGTGCAACATGCTTGACCCAGATCAGAAAGACATCTCCATGGACCTGGAAACCTATCATGCCATCATGAAAGAGTGGATTGAGGACTGTAAGAGTAAATGGTAATAGCTTTTTATCAATCTATCTCATAAAAGCTTCTGTAAAAACAGAAGAGGAGAAAATTCTCTTGTGGCTTGTGCCTTCTGTACTCTGTAACAAAGATGTTATCAGAACACTGTGACCACAGAGTGGGTTTTGGCTGAAAGCTTTCAGATCTAAAAAGTTGGTAAGCGATCCAGTGTTATACTGATTTTGTGATTCTTGATGCTTCTTTGTTTTTTTTTTCAGGGAAGATGGTGCCACTGAGGAACTAGCAGCAGGCATGGAAGACCTGGAATCCAAAGTGTATAAAACCACCCCTGAAGGTGCATACCCTTTTATTGTGGTTTTATTCAGGAAAACTCCATTTTCTCACTCTATACCATCTATAACTAACACCCCCACACACATGCTTCTTTCAGCAAAAAAGACAACTCTCCGGATGAATGTTACATCAGGAAGCTTGGAGGCCTTTGGAGGTGATGTGTCTAGAGGAGACATGTAAGTCCATTCAAGCAATTCCTTCTCAGAAGTTCCTACTCCGAGCTTTGAAATACTTGAGAGCTACTTCTGAGAACTACTGTTACAGAAAACTTTCTTGGTAGAGTTTCTAGTGTCTGTTGCATGCTCTTGTTGCTACCGCATGCTTCCTCACAGCTTCTGCTCAGGCTTAAAAACACACTGGTAATTCTTCCTATTGTTATGTCGGTTCTTCTGTGTCCATTTTCCTCTTTAATTCATTGTGGTCTGAGTTTTGCCGTGTGTTTCTTTTTTAAAACAGTACCTTCCCTAAGTTCCTAGGTTTATGTGACACTAGAAGACATTATCTCCTGAAAATCTGGTGGCACATCTTGATTTCAAGGAGCATTAAAAAGTACTTAAAACCAAAATGGTTCCTGGTGAATTAGAGAATTTATCTGATGTTGTATCTCAGTGCAGAACAAATCACAGTACAC